AGCAGGATTTATTGAGTATGTTCATGATGTGAATGTGAAACAATTTAGAGAAAAAGTATACTCACAAGTAATGTGATCTAAGATACAAGACAAAAAAATCTAATGTATGTCAAGTGGACAGAAAATGGAAAAAGTGATATGAAAAATAGCAACCAAAATAAAGAAAAGGGTACAGTTAAGGTATCTAAACAAAATTCAACATTATTTTAGCTTATTAAAATATTTTACACTAGGACCAGCAGATGGCATTGTGTGTACCAAAGGCCTAGGGAAAAAGACAGCTTTACCCTCCTGGAGTTACTCAGCTGCTCCTTACAGGAGATAAAACCAAAAATCATAGGATCTACTGGAGTTTAGGTTCTCTTCTCAGGGCAACATCTCTCTCACAGATCAGAAGAGGTGTAGGAAGTTTAGATAAAATGCTGTAATTAATTTGACAATTTACCTTAACCTTTGATTTAACTTAACAAGACAAACAAAAAAGGCCTGATTGCTTGTGGTCTAAATACCTGAGTCACTATGGTAATCCTGAAGGCTGGGAATTTAGGTTCCACTGAAAGGCAAGATCTGGAAAAGCCCAGGTCAGAGCCTCTGCCTAAAAACAACAAAACCCTAAATGTTTCTAATGTGGGAGCCTTGGGCACTGGACAACGCCCGTAACTGACATCTTCCGTTCCCCACTAGGGTCTGTCCCCAATATAAAGGAGTTGGCTACTGGAAATAGGAATGCCCCAAGCTCTGGAAAACAAACAAACAAACACAAAACAAAACAACAAGAAAACAACGTCTTTTTTTTTTTTCTGCTTGTAAATTAATGCCCATTTATGTTCACATCCTTTCATCATTGAGACATTTATATACATATGCAGACTCTGCTCCTTAACAAAAGGGAAACTAAAAAACTCAAGGATATTTTTGCACTTAAAAGGAAAAATAAAACCAAATAATATCAGGTGCCTTGAGAGAAAGCACTCTTTATAAGGTCTTGGTTTTCCACAGTTTTCTCTGTGACAGCAGCTTCCATCTCTGATGAAATAGAGTCATGGCATCAAATGGCACAAAATGTAATGGACACACAGGACTGTCAAGTGTAATAAACCAAATATTTACATTAAGCACAATACAGCAATTTATTTAGATGCTTAAAATGAATACAAAGGGAAATAAAGATCACAAAATTATACATACTACAACAGTGTGTCATATATTAGATGGTATAAATGAATACACCAGGGTGGTGTTTAACTAAAGATAAAACTAAATATCCAAAATGCAGCAGTCATTAGTTTGCTGCTTCAACACAACACACTTTTATACAGATCTAAAAGGTGTCAAAATTAGTAGCTGCAAAGTCAATTCTTGCATGTGATTTTAGCTTAAAAGATTTCAGAAAACAGATCTGAAATACATTTTCGTTTTTGACAGCTGTAATGTTGAGGATATTCAGAACAAGAAAAATTCTATAATACAAGAGAGTCCAGATATATATCTTATGTGGCTGGCCTCTGTTGCAAGATTGTACAAGGTTATGTGCAAAAACTAAGTCTGTCCAAAAGTCCATACTAGAGCAGTTTCAAGCTTTTGCTAGATAAACTAGATATAGCATTTATTACACAGCAAGGGCAACACTAAAATAAGAAACAAATCTATGATGAGCACACAATAACAATATCATAAGCATCACTTGAATAGGTCTAAAAGACTGTACAAATATACATTTCAACTATTCAGAATGAATACATGAAAAAAAAATCAATTTTTCCAAAGTCTACTATACACATTAGACTGGTAGCTTGTATGTTGGCCCTATACTACCGTGTGAACCAGAATAACGCTTCTCAAGGACATCCAATCATTTTACAGAGGGAAGGTTGAGAAGGCAGATAAAGTAAACCTCTGCTTTTCCTTGTGTGCGTTCGTGAGCCACCAGCTTATTGGTTTTTCACATTTAGTTACTGTGTCTGTCAGAGAAGATTCAGAAGCAAGATCAATCAATCATGTGTCATAGACTTAGAAATAACCACTGGGACTGCAGTGGCCATGTATCCCCACAGCCCACTAACCAGTACTCATGAGGCAGCACCAGTGAGAAGACAGCTGTGCAGTCACAATGGAAGGAGAACAGAGCTCCAGGCTGTAGCATGTCACTGATGCTGGGACACCTGGCACCTAGGCCTGTTGGCTGCTCAGTTTCACTCCGGTCAAGCTGCCATGCATCGGCTCAGCTACCCCATCAGCCATGCTGTCAAACTGCTCCCCATCCTCACTGTCAATTGTGCTATTCTGCCACTCAATCTGGGGGTTAGATAAGCGCTCATCATTCTCAGATGTGTTTTTCCACTGTGACTGGTCCTTAGACCAAAACCCTTCAACTTTTCCATAGGAACTATTCTTCCACTTCAACTGCTCTCTGTCACCTGGCATGGTAGCCTTTTTTTTGGCAGCTGGCTTACTGCTCCTTCCATCTTCACTCTGGGAAGACTCGTCAGACCAGGTTCCTGGTTTCATTTCACATGTATTATCCTCAAAGTCTGAACCTTGCTGGGAACCAGGCCCGCTCTCAGATGGAGAGGCTCCATCTTTCCACTCAACATCATCATCTTGGTCAACCTCACTATCAGAAGCATCATGCATTAGTTTGGCTGGTTCCTCAGTCAAATGAAGAGTTCCGTATTTTGAACCATCCTCCTCTTTTTGGTCTTGCTTCTCTTCAGATTCTAAAGCATCCTCAGGAATCACCTTTGATACATGTTCCTCCAGGTTATCATTAGGGATTTTAGGCTCTACTTCAAACACAGGGTCAAAAGGGCTGCCACTGCCATTGGATTCTTCTTCTAAATTTTCAAAACTGTCTGAGGAGCTGTCATCTTCCTTCCCAAGACTGAGCTTTTTGTCAGCAGTCTTACTAGCGTTGACTCTAGAATCCTTTTCATCATGATTTTCAAACAGCCATTCGGCATCAAAATCCATCTCATGCTTGACTTTATTCAATTCTTTCATGTTAAAGCCCAGTAACACACCAGGCTTGTACTTTTCACAATCACGGACACACTTCTTCCTTTTGTTACTAAAATGGGAAGCAATGTCACTCTTCCACAACCATAAACTGGCCGCTAGTTTCTCAATTTCTCTCCTGGTAGGATAGGGCTGTTTATTGAAATACTTTGTTAGAAAGCTTTTCCTGGCTTCATAGGAATCATCTTCATGACCCTTGGGGTCTAAAGCTAAAACAACAGGCTCTTCGGGTTTCTCTTCAAAGCAGCTGGGTGAATCGCTATCATCATCTAGCTTTCGCTTTTTCAGCAAGGGAAATTCCATTTGCTCATAAGTGCGCTTCACTGGTGCCAGACCTGGAGATTGATTAAGCCGAGACGGTGCAGTTGTCTTATCCTGGCCATTTTGGGTCTTTCCAACACCCCGGCAGTGAACAAGATGCAGAGTGATAGTTGAGGCGGTCATGTTGCTGGTATACACACCGAGGCAATGGATACACTTGTAGGTGAGCTTTTTCTCAACTGGATGAACAGTCTGAATAACTTGGTGCCTCTCTCGTAAGTGATGTGCAAGTGCATCAGATATAGGTCCTTTCAGGATTGAGAAACAAAGAGGACAAAGGGTTTTCCCAACATCTTTTTTATAGGGCACTGCAGCTTGAGGTGAACTTTTAACAGGGATATCTGCCTTTTCCTGAACTTTTGGCTGTGGCTTTGGAGGAGGTGGAGGATTATTTTGGGCATGATAAGCAACAGATTCAGCTGGGGCATCCCTCAGGTTGTACGTAGTTACCAGGAGATGGATGTTGGTGTGACTACCCTGCTGCAATGTCAAATCAAAACTCAAAGTCGAATCTGTTTTAGGTCCCATCTCTTCATCAATGTGAACCAT